AGGGCTGTGGGAGCAGCGGCGGTACCCGCATCCCAGCAGCAGGCACATCGCGGGGACATTAACAGCCCTGCTGTCCCTCCAGCCTGGGTGACGGTGAAGGAATGGGCTGTGGTGCGTGGCTGTCACAGAATCACAGAATCATTAAGGTTGGAAAGGACCTCTAAGATCATCAAGTACAACCATCAACCCAACACCGCCAAGCCCACTAAACCACGTCTACACGTTTTTTGAACACCTCCAGTGATGGTGACTCCACCACCGCCCTGGGCAGCCTGTTCCAATGTCCCGTCTGCTGAAAGAGCTTTGGCCTTCTCTCGGGGCTGGAGACTCAGTCGCCCACCCCGTTGCTGAAAGCTGAACAGAGAAAAAGTCCACCTGGGTTGCTATTTTTTGGCCAGCCTAGTGGGAGCTGCCATTCACCCGTTGGATACAACCGCCTACGCATAAGATTTTAGCAAAACAGGCAAGTATCCTGCGGGGAACGTAAAAGAATGAAGGTGGGTGTATTTTTACACAAGTTTCTCACAAATCTGGGGACCTGGTTTGCAAAACTGCTGGCAATTGGGACGTTTAAATATTTAAAACAAAAAAAAAAGCCAAAAAAGGAACATGGAGTCTGGGACCTGAGCTACTCAGTATATCACACACCTCATACCCATCTCAAACTGCATCAGTGTATTCACACCAGCTCCATGGGAGCTCAGGCAGAAAAGGAGGACACCCTGTCAGCATTGCAATTTGGCACCTTGTTCTGGAGGAGAAGCTGAGACTGTCACTCATGTGCTTCCCTGGGACAGAGCCTGTTTGGCCTTGTGATGGGTTTCTGGCAATGACTTCCCGTCTTCCCCCTCCTCAATCCCACAGCCAATTTCCAGTGGGTGCAAGGAAGTGGGGTGGACCTCCTGGGGGCTGGTGTTATGCCACATCAGTGGTACAGAGATCTTTTGGCTAAGCCCTTTCCTCTTGTGTCCTGGGATGACAGTCCCCGAGAGTTGCCGACCCTTATCAGGATGTTCCCGAACACCTCTGCTTCAGGCTTCTTGCTGAATTTTATTGACAGACTTGGCTGCTAGCATCCAGTCAGTGGGGTAACAGCCAGACCTTGTGCTGGTGCCAAAGTCAGGCCTGTCACAAACCACGGCTCTGTCCCCTGGTCCTGCCTGCTTCAGCCACCTGGGTGTGCAGGACCTGCTAGGACATTGGGACAAGCAACAACAATGACACACCATCTCACAAATGCTTTGCCTTGATATCTTAGGGATGTCACCCAAGGGCTTCATAGAGGTATTAGCTAGCCTAGCTCATGGAGCACATGCCGCCTGCGTGGTGAGGGTCTTTACCTTGCCCCATGGGGCTACTGAGGTGTGTACTGGGACCACGCTCAGAGAAAGGGACCTCTCACGTTTGAGCCACGTCTGAGTTCAAGAGCTGGGCTGCTGCAGAAGGTGCAGATGGCATATAAGGGAAAACTTTTTGACCTTGAAGACAGTCAAGCAGTGGAGCAGGTCATGCAGGGAAGCTGTGCAGCCTCTGTCCTTGGAACTTTTCAAGACCTCGCTGTGTGAAGCCCAGAATAATGTAGCCTGATCCCAACAGCTATCCCTGCTTTGAGGATGAGGTGGGACTAGAGATCCTCTGGGGTCCCCTCACTCATCTCAGGGTTGTTCTGTCTCAAGAGCTATGTTCATATGTATGTTCACTCTGCTCACCTGTGTTACCTGGGAGAACCTGCCTGCTCCTGCAGCCCTTGCCCATGCCTTTCCCTTGGACGTGCAGTGCTTCTCCTGCCTCTACCCCATGGGAAACTCCCCACATTCCCCATTGCTCTACACTTCTCCCACTTGTTGGAGTGGTAGCCCCCAACTTAGGTGGCATATCATATAACAGATATTTGCATTTTTTGCTTTTCAAGACTGACAGAAAATGGATACACAATATGCAAAAGCATTTGGTGAAGTGAAAGGACCTGTATTTCCTGTTTAAAATGTGTGAAATATCCCAAATTTCCACCCTTTCCATGTAAATTTTCCCTTCTCCAACCCATTCTCTCCCCAAAAGCCCCTAACAGTTCCACACCTAAAACCTGCTTCTCCCCAAATGTCCCTGCTCAATGTTTTGGCCACTGAGCACATCCTGACACCTACTTACCTATGTAGGCACTTCAAAAGATGATTTCTGTTCTTCTAAGCTTTCTTCTTCTGCCCGGTCTTGGGCTTTTCCTAGCACTCCCTCCCCTCCTTTCCCTCACACTTTTGAGTGTCACGCTCATTAGAAAGAGTCACATGGAGACAAGGACGCAGTACTCACATTTCCAGCCCAAGTGTCCACCGAGCAGCAGTCCTTTGCCCTCCATGCAGTGCCTTCCCACTGGTAGTGGGTGGATTTTTCCCTTGGCACAGCCTGACAGCTCAGGGAAATCCTCCTTCTCAAGGAGTCCTTTTTAAGGCCAGCCTTCCTGGAGGTGCCTCATGTTTTATCACTCCACTGCTGCATCCCGAAATACTTGTTTTCTTTCATTCCCGTGTTCCCATGTTGCATGAATCGGTCTGGAGTTGTACCTCTCTGATATGGTTTTGAGCTGTTCTTCAGTAATTCTTCATGGTACTGGTTTGCAAAGAGTTTCAAATAGCTATAGTCACTTCTGACAGCCTGTGGGATCACCCTGGAGATATCTGAAAGCCATCTGGACATCGTCCTGGGCAACTGGCTGTAGGTGGGCCTGCCTGAGCAACGAGGTTGGACAAGATGACCTCCAGAGGTCCCTTCCAACCTCAATCATTCTGTGATTCTATGACACCATGTGGAGGGATCCCTAACCAGCCCCACACAGCTGGAGGTGTAGCACGCTCATCTCTCCAGAAAAATAATGGATACAAGGCCATGGACCCTGGATTCAGTTTCCTGACACTCTTCTGGTATGGCAGCTGGAGTCCTTTGGGGAACACCATAGTACATGTGCCTTGACTAAGCCGCAATATAGATGTGATTCGGAATATCCTTAGCTGCCTGCAGTCCCCAGGGTTATCTGTTACATTTGGGTTGGCTGATATAACACAGCTTTATGGGAAACTCAAACCTTTTTGCACTGGAACCAATATAAGACGATGTAGGATATTTCAAGCAGCAGTAGGTATCTGTGTTCAAGCAGCCAAATCAAGCTCCTCTCAGTTGTTCACTCCTTAAATGCTGCTGATTGTGTTGCCTAGATTGTCACTTACTTTGATGGGCATGTGTAGGTGCTGACACGTATAGATACCTACAGTTGGATGTCATAATCTTGAACTGACTCCCATTCTTACATCCAGTCAACCAAATCTCTTTCCTTGCTCTTTACTTTCTGGAGGGAGGAACTGATCACTGTGGGATGAACTATATCAATAAAAATGACAGAAATCTGTTGGTGTATTTTTCCTGAAAATATGCACAACTGTTTTTTCTGACTTTGCCACCATTTTGCTACAAGCTAGGTTTATGTATGCTGGAGTCATGTGTTCTTATGACAGTGATTTATTTTAGATATGCTTGGAAGTTAACCATTGTGTAGAACAAGGCAAAAAGGCTTAAACATTTTGTAGTTAATGTACAGATTTTATAGCTTATTTTTGCAGTATCTGTAGTATTTTGGACAGTTACATTAAATATATGCATTTATTAATTATACAGATTATGTACATTTCTCATTATTTTCCAAGAAAAGCTAAAATGTCCACACCCTTTACAGACTTAGAGGAATGCATTAATTCTTTGATTTCTAACCTTTCAAGCATGAACAATTTTCAGAAAATCAGTGAGACTATCTAGGCAGAGGCACCTTGATGAAGAATGGTCTCCTCCCAAATGTCTTCCTCAGAGCATGCTTTACTTCTTTGTTTCGTATGCTGTAGACGATTGGGTTCAGCATAGGAGTTACTACTGTGTAAGAAAGAGCCACCAATTTCCTGCTGTTTGCCAAGAGGCTGGACCTTGGCTTTAAATGTACCAAGCCAGTTGTGCAGTAGAACAGTGTCACCACCACCAGGTGAGCAACACAGGTGTAAAAAGCTTTGGGTCTTCCTTTGGCAGACGGCATTTGGAAGATGGTATGGATTATCTGGATGTAAGAGGCTGCTATCAAGATAAATGGGATGAAAACAATTACAACAGTAGCAACGAACACAAGAAGCTCAAATAAGTATGTGTCCGAACAGACCAGATCCAGAACAGGAACGATATCGCAAAAGAAGTGCTCAATCTCCTTCGAGCCACAAAAGGGGTAGCTAAATAGCCAACCGGTGAGTCCTACAGAAAGTGGAATGCCAGCAATCCAGCATGCTATGACCATGTGAAGACACGCTCTCCTGTTCATTGTTACGGTGTAGTGCAAGGGATGGCATATAGCCACATATCGGTCATATGCCATGGCACCCAAGAGGAAACATTCAGAAGTGATGAAGAATATGACAAAGTAAAGTTGTAGGGCACAGGCAGAAAAGGAGATGACCTTTCTCTCCAACAACAAATCCACAAGCATCTTGGGCACTATGTTTAGCGTAAAGCAAATTTCAATCAAAGCCAGGTTTTTGAGAAAATAGTACATGGGGGTGTGCAAGGTAGGGTGAGTGGTTGCAACTATGATGATGAGAAAGTTCCCTGCCATCGTGACTAGGAACATCAGAAGAATTCCCTCAAAGAGGAAGACCTGAAGAGCGGCAAGGTGGGAGAACCCCTGCAAGGTGAAGTAGGTCTGGTTTCTGAGCCCCGGTTCTTTAGCAGCTTCCATGTGAAAGAGAAACAACACAGCCTGTATAAGCCAACAAGGAAGACATGAGAAGAAAAGTCTTTATAGGGATGAAGAAAAAATAGTGAGCTGCTCTGAAACTGGTTCCATTATTTAGTAAGTGGGACAGTCAAATATAGACAGGCAAATAAAATTTCAAGAGACGCACTAAAAAAAAAAACAGCACATGATAAAAATGAGGTAATAAGAAAAAACAATGAGCTTCAGCGTGGAAGAGCTAAGATTTTCCTTTTAGTTTGTCTGTTTTCCTTTAAGCTAGAATGCTGCCGTGCCTACTTCCTATTTCAGTTCAATTGGCATTTTCTGAAATATGTTTTCATCAACAATTCACCTATTTTATTTTCTGTGTGCAAAATATGAATTAATTTCCTGCAGAACTGAAATCTAATTACATTCTCTGCTCTATTTTTAGGAGAAAAATGTTTTCCCCTGTTTTCACACACATGCACATATATGTATATACATATTTCAACCGAATAAAGGAGAATAAAACTGTTGATGGCTGTAGCCATATGCTTGGAGCTTGATGGATAGACAGAATGTATATTTTACTATTTGGGTTCATCACTACTAAAATACAAAATAATGACCTGATTTTTTTAACTATCATTGTTCTTTATTCAGTGCCACTGGACAATTGCTTATGAATTCAGTATTGTGAGAAACTTTCTTCTTGTAGACCATTTGCGATCTGCCTGTCTATATTTAGATATTTGTGATGTAGATAACCATATCTGAGGTAAACATTTGAATTACATTCTCAGTTCATACATCTTTACACCAGCTACAAAGGTAAGTCAGAAACCTTGATTGTATTTCTCACTTAATCCAGTTATCTTTATTGGTGTCACTGTCTGGGAGTGCCATTCGTTAGCACGGAGAGGAGCAGCTACATGCATTGCAGAAAGGAGTATAAGCTGCGAAAGGTCCTCCTCAACAGTTTGCAGTTGAGGCACCCTTCAACCTGCAGTTTGATTATCAGCACTGGTTGACCTTCCTATGTTCCTTTGCAGTGAAGTTACAAGTCTGCATTGTAATAAACCACAACCTCTTTCAGTATGTTACTGCCTTGTCCTGTGTACCCTCTGATCATCTTAGTGGTCCTCTTCTATTTATCAATCTCTTTCTTGTAGAGAGGGATCCCAAAATGGGACAGCTTCCTCCATAGATGGTCTCGCAAGTGCCAAGCAGAGCGGAACGGGCGTGTTCCTTTGACCAGCTGGATAGCTCTCGCTAACATGGCTGGCTGGCTGGTTACTCCTCGCCAATGCAGGGACACATCCAGCTTGCCATCCACCAGGAGCCCCACATCCTTTTCTGCAAAGCTCATCCTCAGATGGTCAGTCACGATCTATATCTATGCATATTTTGTGTCAAGGCCAGGACCTGGCATTTGTCTTGAACTTGATGAAGTTCCTGTGTATGGCCCTTTTGCCTTGTCCCCAGATTTCTGTCACCTGGAAACTCCTGAGGATGTTCTCCGTTACATCTTCCCAGTCACTGCTGAATATGTGAAACAGCATTAGTTCCAGTATCAGTCCATGAAGAATGCCTCTTATAGCCAGCTACCAGCTAGACTCAGATTGTTGACCACTACCCATTAAAGCCTCAATGGTCCAGACCATCCTAATGTTTCCCCATCCAGTTTAGATCTTCCCAGTTTGGCTACAAGGCTACTATGTCAAGAGTTGCTGAAGTCCTTGAATGACATCTGCCAATCTGCCCTTACCCACTGTGAGTCAGTCATCTGATGATGGAAAGGTGACAGGTTTGGTCAGGTGTGACATTTTTGGTAAATCTGTGCTATTACACATCCTTTCCTGCCCTTCATGTGCCTGGACATGGCTTCCAGGAGGCTTTGCTCCACATTCTTCTTGGAGGCTGAGGTGAGGCTGACATTCCTCATCTTTCTTCTTGTCCTTCTTGAAGACTGGTACATTTGTTTTTTTTTTTTCTGTCATTAGGAACCTACCCCAATTTGTCAAAGATGACAAATACCAGTCTTGCAATGGCATCAGTCACTTCCCTCAGCACCTTCTGCTGCATCTGTGGGTTTGGGTGGGTTGTTTACTGAAGTACTCTGTAACTTGATTGTCCTCTGTTGTGGGTAGCACCTCCCTTTCCCAAACTTTGTAACTACTTAATTTAAAAAAAGACCCATTTCGGAGCAGGGAGGAGTTTTTTGTTTTGTGGGTTTTTTTTTAAATCCGTATTTTTACAAGTGAAATATTTCCCCGAATAATCAAGAAAATCTTTTTGTTGTTTCTGCAAACATCCATATGGCAAACATCAGCAGCTGAGATAGATACCCATTTACATTTCCCTTACAATCTATGAATAGAAACAACAATTCTCAGACGTCATTTTTGTTCATCCTTCAGAACTAATCTGAAGTAAACTAATTGCTACAAGTACTTAATTCTCTTACATCTCCATGAAAGTTTTAATGTATAGCTCAGACATCACTGTGTACATTGCAGACATCTGGAGTTCTCAGATACATTATCTACCCTTTAAAAATTGTAAATTACTTGAGCCATCTATACTAATAAGCATTTTTCTTGACAATTTTCATTACCAAATAGTATAGAAAATACTGGTATACCTCAATTTTTATGAGAAGCGATCCAGAGTTTCTGATATGATGCCTTTGTTCATGATTTCAGATACTGGGATACCTTTTTCTGTCTGTTGGGCAACACTTCAGGATTGTCAATAGTTTCCTGTAGGATCCCAAGGAGAGAGTGAAGTTCAGCTGCTCTGAACTACATGGTTTCTTACTTTGCTTCCTGAGACAGGAACACCTCTCTGGATTCATTACCAAGTATACTCAGAAGACAAGACATCTCCCTTGGTATTGTAGCAGACTGTGAACAATTCAAATTAATGAAAGATAACTTTTTTTTTTTTTTGAAAGCTTACATAAGTAGAAGCAACAAAATTAACAATAATTAGGTTAAAATTTAAATTTAAAATAAAATTTAAATAGCAAAGTGTCATTCCTCATTTGAAGGTAATGGGAGGAGGAAAACAGCCTTTGCTAGATGCCCTGTTTGAATTATTAATCAAGTGTGTCTTGATGGAGAGAACAGAACACCAAACCAAATCAGACCATTTGTTTCAGACGTCTGTCTGAGGATGGGTACCTTCTGAAGGCATCTATTTTAATTATCAGGCAGGTAGTAGCAGCATGTCATTTAGATGAAATGTCTACATTTCAATGGATAAATTCAGATGAAATGGATCCTACTTGAACTACAGCTCCTCAGAAAATTATAAATTCAACCCGAGGTTTCCAAAACTAATTTTTGAAAAGCATCCTAGACCCACATTGAGCAAAGTATTTTGTGCAAAGAAAGGAAATCTGATAGCAAGCCAAAGAGAGATTCACCATACCTAAATTCAGACATCTGTAATCCAGTAGTTTAATAGTTGTTAACATATATAGTGACTTTTAAAAGGCTGTGGAGTATCCAAGATACCTGCTTAAGTCTGGCAAATGTAATAGAGATCCACAGGCGACCTGTCCTTTTGGAACATTACTGGAGACCAGCTAAGATGCTCCTGGATGTCTCAAATGGCACTGAAGACTTATGGTTTGAGCCCTAAATTTCTACATCTGAGCTTGTCATAGAGTCACTTGCCCTTTAATCAAAGGAGAGGAACAGACACTTCTAAGACGTAATTCATCATAGCCTCAAAAGTCCAAAGTGTGCCAATAAGTCATGGCATAGAAATGCCTTTTTCCATTTAGTATGTTGGGAAACTAGGTGGCTAACACACAGCTAAGGAAGCTGGTGAGGGGTCTGGAGAACGAGTCTTGTAAGGAGTGGCTGAGGGAACTGGGGGTGTTCAGTCTGGAGAAGAGGAGGCTGAGGGGAGACCTCATCACTCTCTACAACTACCTGAAAGGGGTTGTGGTGAGGTGGGTGTTGGTCTCTTCTACCAAGTAATTGGTGAGAGGATGAGGGGAAATGGCCTCAAGTTGTGCCAGGGGAGGTTTAGACTGGGTATTAGGAAAAATGTCTTTATTGAGAGAGTGGTCAAACACTGGAACAGGCTGCCCAAGAGAGGTGGTGGAGTCACCGTCACTGAAGGTGTCAAAAACGTGTAGACGTGGCACTTTGGGACACGATTTAGTGGGCATGGTGGTGTTGGGTTGATGGTTGTACTTGATGATCTTAAAGGTCCTTTCCAACCTTAATGATTCTGTGATTCTATGCAGAATTTGTATTGCAGATGTCGAAGTGTTAATGGATATCCATTACAGTAAATAAAGCAATATAGACATTTCTGGGCATGGTTAATTTAGCCTATTGTAGATATACACTATGCGACGGATAGATGTGTATTCTTGGGTTCAGTGCTCTAATTAATTGCCAAGCCATGAGAAAGCTTTTCCTGTGTCAAACAGCTTTGGGTGGCAAGTGGTACCTATTCCTTCCTATTTCTGCTAATCCCCTCGTTCCCTCCTCCAGACGCCAGGGATGTTTCCCATTAGCCATTTCTTGATCTGCTAACTGCTCTCAAAAGCTGTATTTCCTTGATGTGATGGCCACCCCTTTTCCTATGCTGTCTCTCCTCCAGTGCTCACTGCACTGCTAGAAACTTCATTGAAATGTGAAGCTTTGCTAGCCACTATTTCTTTTATGTTTTTAAATATAAGAACACTCATAGCAATCACAATTCCATGGCCTACAGATGATTTCTAAACAGCTCTTCCTATTTCCTAATTGTTATCAAGGAGAATAAAACTCCACATGCAAAATGAACTAGTTTCCAGTTGGTAAAGATGGTCCTTTCCATTTATCTCCCCTCCTTTCCACCAAACGTCAACAGAGTGGGCATTCCTCTTTGGAAGTTGTTGCAATATTGTTGCGGGAGTTTTGTTTTCACTTTTAGGTTTTAATTGTCAGGCCAGTTATGGGTAGTATTTAATTAATTATAGACTGGATGTTTACATTGTGTGTTCTTCTGTATGA